GACAACAATGTGCCTTTGGAGGTGCCATTTTTCAGCTGAAATGTGAAATCAATGTCCTGACCATTTGTGGTCATTAAAAATCCCATGGCAGTTTTCTGCAAGAGTAGAGGCATTGACTCCCAAGTCTTGGTGAAATTCCAGCTAAGTAATTATATTCCTCCTGATACAACTTTCCTTATAAAGCTAATTTAATGTTCCTCTTCAGCTGTTCTCCCCTGTTTTAAGTGGAAAATCTTTCATTTCCCTTTGTAAACCTTTCTTTAGTTCTGCTTTATACTGACAATTAGTAGCCATCCTTCCTCTTGCTGCATCACTGAGGCATGTCTATGCAGCAGCAATGTGCATGCAGACACGTACCCATACAATTTAAAAAGCTCTTTATTGATGGTCTGGTTAAAAGCCATTGAAATTAATGGGATGCATCCCTTTGAGCTGGTGGTCATAGGAGTCATCAGTGCTAGCTGAGCCATGTTGTGGAGCCCTCTCTAAGCCTGCTTTTCTTGCCCTGCTGAGAGTTGTGTTGACAGGCTGTTGGTGCTACGGTGTCTGCTCCCCATCTGGGTGTAGACACTCAGGAAAGAGTGGTCAAAAGCGCCAGGTGTGTTGTTTGCTCTGGTGAATTGGATTTGCCTGTGGGGCAACACAAGGAAGAGCTTCATGGTTATGCAACCTTTGGAAATAATTAAAAGTAGAACTTCTTAGTCATTAACGTTATTGCAATTTGTTATACGCACCTTATCAGCATATCAATCTATGTCCACAGTGGAAAATTCCTGGGGAAAACACATAAATTCTCAAGTCTTCCTCTAGAATACCTTATTCCTCTTCAACTTGTACCTATTTCTGTTCACAAATATATCTCTTCTGGGATGGTTAATGCCTGTGCAACTTGTCATATAGTGTTCTGTAAAAAGTTGAAAGTTTCACCCAAATCACAAGTATCAGCTTAACCTTTAGGCTTTTTGGTTTTGTTTTTTTTGGGTGTTTTTTTGTGGTTGGTTTGGTTTGGTTTTGTGCTTCATAGAAAAATAATGTAAATGGAAGAAATATCTGCTGCATTACATGCCAGAGAATAAAATGTGCTGTGGTCACTCATTCATGAGGAGACAGGACCTTCTTACACTCTGGGTTCAAACAGAGACTGCTGGCTTGGATGTCTACAGCCATGACCATAGGACGTGGACACTTCTGTTCACAAGTGGGAAGATTTCTGCATTTGGGATGTTTCTGCTTGCATTTGTGCTGCTTTCTTTATAGCACACCATACAGATCCCTTCTTCAGTTTTGCTCTTATCCTTATGTCCTTATCCTCATATGCCTCATGTGCCGTAGGCGGGCTTTATCCTCTCCCCAAAGTGTGAGATGGAGAAAGGAAGAACACTGACACAATCAGAGGGATGTGTTGCTGCCTTTCTTTTTGCATCTTCTCCAGCACCCTGATGCATTGCTTGGCTTGAATTTATATGTTTTTCTTTCCAGAACAGAAACCATTCTTGATGAAGAACTAAGGCTTTCCAAAGCACTAAGGACCATGATTCTGAGGAAGCAAAAATTATTTCTAAGCCTAGCCCTGACTCATATCAGTTGAACTCAAGCTTTCTGGTATGCATCTAGCAGAATACACACAAGATTATCCCAGCCACCCTTCAAACTCCCTCCTCTGTCTCTTGTGCCTCAGTTTACATCTCTGCAGAAGCACTGCATAGAGCATTAAATCAGACAGAAATGTTGTACTGTGAAAACCACCAAGCCGTGTTGTGCCAAACCGTGCATGTAGGTGGGTAACAACAGCTGCCAGTCAGCCTCTGAGAGAAGAGCACCATATGATTTCTCAGGGAACAAAACATTTAATACAAACACAACACTTTCCAGATATTCTGAAGAGTTCTCCTGAGCAACTTTCTCTCAACAAGACTATTAGGCAGTAAAGTCTGTTTGCTGATCTTTATGCAGATCTTCCCACGTCCACTTCAGTATAAGGTTTTGACTAAAATATTTATACTTTTTTGCTTTGGTACACATCCTACTCGGATCCTACGGGAATTTCTCAGCCTGTGGAGAGAAATGATAAAGTGTGTGTGTGTGTGTGCGTGTGTGTGCGCGTGCGCGCACAGTATTTGGTTCACCCAACCTGGCTTACTGGTTTTTGGGAACAGCTATGTGTAGCCCTCTCTGGAGAGTGCAGAGAGTTTTCAGTAAGTCAAAGCTCATTGCAGATCTAGTGAACAATTTGAAAATGTGCAGTTTGATTTCTGAAAGGCCATATGTGATGGGGCAGCATATTGGGGTGCAGACCTCCCACGTGGTATCCTCTTGGCTTCAACAGCATCTTTACCTTCCATATGTCTGTACTGTTCTGCCCCAGATCTGTCCTATGTAGCTGAATGCATAATGCTGAAAAATTGTAACTGACCTTCCTGGAAATGCTGTGACTGTGCTTCATGATGTCACCATCTACCTAACAGCTTTTCCAGGCTCTTTAGCCTTGTCCTCTTCTGTCCTTAGCACTGCTGTGCGTTAGCTCATCCCATTTGCATTGGCACTGATTTCAGTGAGATTTGGAGCAGTCCTGATGAAATATTTAGGTTTCCATTTTCACTTTTTTTAAAGGTTGTCCTTCTATGTTATAGGCAGTATATGAAAATACGTGTTCTTATATAAAGATTTTTTTTTTCACTCGTGTTCCTTGTATGTGTCACTTAGAAGTAGTAGGAATCTGAGCATTAGTTGTGTTAAGTCTAGTTTCAGTTTCTTGAAATGTTGCAGAATGAGTATCCATTATCTTTAAATAAACTTTAAGGGTATTCTTGATGACTAATTTGCTCCATAAGATTTTCTTTTTTAAACTCCCATGAAATGTATTTATAGAGCAGTGTTGCTATTCCTGATATTTATGGTACACTGACAGTGGACGTTAACCGTCTTCAGCAGTCAGCGTACTATTTATTTCCAGTGAGGTTGCAAATATAATTGGGTATGTTTTCTAGGAAAATAATATTTTTAGCTTATTATTGTACAGTTGTGGGTTTATTTTATGGTTTAAATGTTGGTGAGTTGATGAGAAACTGTAAAGACTTTAGATAGCTGGGAAGTAATGAAACTTCTCTTTTATTTGTGAATTATAGAGTTTTATTTGAGTTAGACCTGTATTTCAAAAAATCGTTACCTTACATATTTTTGTTTAAAAATGGAATTTGATCTGCCCAAATGTGAAACTAGCAACACAATTAATTACATTAAAAATGTATATGCTAAAGGTCTGCAACATCTTTGTTTAAGATTCTGATCACATTCCCATTTTTACCACCATATCGACTATTTAATAATTGTTTTCATAAGGCTGGCATCTGTTGTAGAGTGGGTTATTTAACAAAAATGAAAATCTTTAGAAATTTAGATGCACCAATCACTCACTGCTCTGCTCAGAAGCTGGCAGTGCAATTTCAGTTTAACATCCTCTTTTTGAACATACATTCTTCTGCTTCTTGCTACTTGTGATTCGTATGGGTATCTCTTTAAGCTGGATGAGCTACTGCTCTTTCATAAAATGTGGTCCCATACACTGGAGCAATAAGGTTTGTGCTATTCTGTTATTTGAATGATAGTAGGTGGCTAAAGGCTAGGGAGTCCCTTCAGAAGAAGAAACAAAGAAATGCTTAGCCTCACTTTTTAGTCCGGGTTCTTTCCTCCCCAAAAAAGCCTCTGAATTAAAGGAGATGGTACCTGTGATTAGAGGTGGATAGGAAAAAAATCCTGACTGTAGGAACCATTTAGTGATCCAGTTCATTGATAGCTTCCAGAAAATGTTCCCTTAATTTTTTTCAATGTGTAACTTATAAGTAGGGCTTGGAAAATAAAGTGATCTGATGCCATTGTGCAGGACAGTTAAATGAAAAAACACATGAAATGTATGGCTGCATCAAAATGCCCTGTAGAAACCAAGGCTGTATTGTTCCACCCTAATTTCATTTTCTTCCCCTTTCCATTCTCTTCCTTTTCCTTCCAGCTCTCACCTTTAATGTTATTCTCATCATGGGCTTTAGTTCATTCCTGGCACCTGTTAAATGCTGACCTGGCAGCCCTTGCTGGGAGGGTGCTGGCACTTCTGAAAGGGCTCATACATGTGTTGATCTGCTGCTGAACAAGGTGTGCAAGAAAAGGGTGTGAGAGATCTTTTTATTTTCTATTTATTTCTCTGAGTGCACCCACAGAGCACCACTGCGATCTGTGCTTTTTGAAGCAAAGCTCTCAGCAGATCAGGTTGATAGTTGGATTTTATGATCTTGAAGGTCTTTTCCAACCACGATAATTCCATGATTCCATGATTCTGTGTTTAGAGGGGCCACAAGAACATACATTGGTGGTAGATCTAGGATGTGTTTTAGGGACTGCGTACATATGTAACAATAACATGTTTAATTGTGCTCTAACTTGATGTAGCAGTTACATTAGTCCACTTCAGTATCTCACACTTTGTTCCCTCCCAGACATATTGCACATCCACAAAATATATTCAAACAAGTAAGATGGATCAAAAAATACATATGTGAAAAATAACTATTGCCTAAAACCCAAGATAAGAAAGTTTAACACTAATGTAGCATTTTCTCAGCGCACGACATCATTATAAATGCCTTATGCCTCGTTGCTGCAGAACTGAAAAAGAGAACTTTTTCAACTGGAAAATTGGCCCAGTGCTGCATTTTAGCTATGCAGGATCATGCAGTGCTGGTATTTGAAGGAATGATAATTTTACACTTAAAAAATGAGTAATTGAGAACATTATTCTGAGGAAATCCTTAGATCACACACCATCATCTGTTTTTCACATTCTTGTATATATGATCATGCAGACATTGCATCCGCAAATGACACATTTGTGTACAAAATTGTGTGCATGTGCCTGCATGCCTATAAAATACAAGTAGTACAAAAGTACTTTTAAAAATTTATAACTTCTTTAAGCACAAACTAATTTTTCCTTGCTTTTTGTCTTTCAGAGAGACTTCCACAGAGTTGTCTGGAGCATTACCAAGGTAAGCAAGTTGCTCTGAACTGACTCTGGGTATCAGTGGCTGGCAGCTGCTGGAAGATGTGTGACCTTTTGAGCCAGAACATGATCCTTTTCCTAAAGAAAACTGCTGGGATGCTGAGAACTGGGGATGCCGGGAGGAGAACATATAATGCATGCCATAAAGAGAAATATGACCATGAAATATTGGAGCAACCAAAACTCCACAGCTTACGGCGGCAACGCATTTAAGTTGTTTTGAGGCTTAGCTCCGTTGTGTACCTGAGAAAGAAAAATCCCAGCTGTGGCTTTCTGCCAGCTGTGCAATGATACCTACTGCAGGTGGCATGGCTTTTGCTTTAAATTTCACCAGAGGGATGAGGAAGGGAGACCTGGAGGTTGGAGAAAAAAAGTACTGTGATCTTAAGGCATTTTCATTTGGAAAGCTGAAGAACAGCTTAGATCAAATTCTTCAATGCTGGGAAAGCTTTTCATAAAATAACAGAACTAGATATGACTCCCAGGCTGTGACAGAGATTTTTGAAGAGAGACCTGCCTACATATTGTCAGAGGGTGTGCTAAAATGCTGTTATTATGCAGATAAAGAAAAGGGTGGAGAGAAGGGGAAAAAAAATGATATGGTACCCTGTCACATAACAGAGAGATCTAGTGAGCAAAAAGAAATGGTGCTCTCATTCCTCTTGCATCTTCTGCCACCCGTTTTGCTCTGTGAGGTGCAGGAGGGTTTTAATGAGGTAATGGTTTGGGGTGTTTCTTTTATCCTTTGATAAATAGCAATGTTGTAGTTCATGTAAAAGTTAATGTTAAACGAATAATTCTACAGAAAAGTCAGTTTTCTTTAAGCATAGTAATACATGTGACTTGTTTCTGCTTCCGAGAGAAAAAAAAAGAAAAAAAAAAGGCTACCTTTATGGTGTGTCAGGTTCATTAGTTCAATCATATAGAATCACAGAATGGTTTTGGTGGGAAGAGACCTCAAAGCCTACCCAGTGCCACCCCCTGCCATGGGCAGGGACACCTCCCACCAGCCCAGGCTGCCCAAAGCCCCATCCAGCCTGGCCTTGGGCACTGCCAGGGATGGGGCAGCCACAGCTCCCCTGAGCAGCCTGGGCCAGGGCCTTACCACCCTCTGAGTGAATAATTTCTTCCTAATATCAAATTTAAATCTACCCTCTTTTAGTTTAAAGCCATCCTCCCTTGTCCTACCACCACACCCCCTGACACACAGTCCCTCCCCAGCTCTCCTGCAGCCCCATCAGGCCCTGGCAGGCTGCTGGGAGGTGTCCCCGGAGCCTTCTCTTCTCCAGGCTAAACAACCCCAACTCCCTCAGTGTGGCTCTAGAGCAAAGGTGCTCCAGCCCCCTTCCATCATTCTCATGGTCTCTTCTGGACTCGCTCTGATACGTCCCTGTCCTTGTGCTGGGCCCCAGAGCTGCTGCCCATGCTGTGTTGGTACAGCCCAGGACATGGTTGGCTTCAAGCGCATGTTGCTAGCTCGTGTTGAACTTCTTGTTAACCCCCTGGTCCTTCTCCTCTGGGCTGCTCTCCATCCATTCTCCACCCTCCCTGGATTTGTGCTTGACATTGCCGCAGCCCAGGTGCAGGGCCTTGCACTTGGCCTTCTTGAACTTCATGAAGTTTGCATGGCATTGACTCATCTGTACTGATAAGCTGTGTAAATGCAGATTTTCAGTGAATGTGATGTTTATCCCACTCTCTGTAATGCATTACCTTGTTCTGTGGATACAAACTTGTTTGATTTATATCAGTTGTTCACTCATTAGATTCTTTTTATTACTTACAACCATTTGGTTGTTCAAGCAAAAATATGACTGTGAAGTTTTGCCAAGCATTTGAAGTGCTGACCAATAGTCAGGCCTACCTAAAACAAGATTTTATTCATTTTCTGTGCAAAAGAATTACAATTCTTCAAATACAAAGAAAAAGGAAATAAAGATTCAACAGAGTAGCCATTCCTTGATCTGTCTCCTTGATCTGGAATGTTTTTTTTTCTGGTTCTAGTGCTAAAATATTTCCAGTTTGACTACATGCCCCAAATTGGTTAGGTATTACATGACTAATACACTGGAAACATGCAGTCCTTGTACTGCTGAAATGAATTCCACTTTAAATTAAAGTTAAAATAAGAGATCCAGGTGCTAGAATAAACATCCAGTTTCATACCTGCCATTAATGATTGCCTAAATGTGTTTTTTGAATTATTACCACAAGGCTTTAATTTCAACTGTGGCAAGACGTCGCAAGTAAAAATCAGATTATACAAACAATGTGCACAAGGCAATGTAATTATGTTATAAATATTAAAACCAATGATCTTGTCTAGATTTAAAATAAATGTTTACAGCTGTGTGCAGTTTGGCTCTTCTCAGCTCTTCTCTGGGATTCACCTGTTCCTACATTTCTCTAAGAAAGCAGTTCCCTAGGGCTTTTAATCTTATCTTATGATGTATTAATATAATATTTTATGTTCTTCATTGAAACTTTAAGTGAACCATTTTGCTGTTATTAATTTGTAACTGTGAAACTGTCTAATTTTCCATGCCACACCACATGTTCCCTACCACACCCCCACTCTGAAGCTACTTTATATCATATAAAATCTTAGTTGCACCTTGAAATAATGAAATTAATAACCACTTTTTCATAGTTACTCTGCTAGTTGTATTTGGTCCAATGGGGCAAAAATTAAAAAAAAATAAAAAATAAAAAAAATGTATTTCTAGAAATATAGCTCTCACTTATGCAGCCAAACATGATACCTATTCTCAGGGCAGTAATGGTTCATGGATATACTGGTCCCAAGATTGATCAAACACATTTCAAACATTTGTAAACCTGGTGAAAGGGTCTCCACTGGAAGCCATGTGTGAGCAGATGTGTCTATACTTGGAATATTTTGTCTGCCAGCCAGAGAGATTTAGGCACTGATGAAATTGAAAAAAAAAAAAAAAAAAAAAAAAAGCAGAAAATCAAACTTCTGAATTTTACACAGTTGGTTTACTAAAGAGAAATTAGAGGTTTGTAACCAGAAAGCTATGTAAGTAGTCAGAATTTACAGGCAAAGATTTCTCTTCTATAGTAACCAAGATTAGGGTCTTTATGTGCTTTTAAAAAAATAGAAATAAAAAAGCAAATATAACAAAGTGTCTTGGAAAACGGTATACTATATTTTTAGTATAGCCATTTTCCATGAAATACTGCTGATTGGTTTCTAATGATTTTATCTAAAAGCAAGAAGAAATTACCTTACTTTTTGCCGCTGAAGAACATGTTTCATTCATAGGAAGAAGTGGAAAAATCTGAGTTAGTGGGCATCATTTAGAAGGAAACCTAATAGATTAACTTTGCCTATAGAAAGATATAACAATATTCTCTATAATTATATTGTGTCAGTTCTAATTTACCAGTTATTTCTGATGATTTTAAGAAGCTCTGACTAGAGAAGGAATTGAAAATTTAAACTTTAAATATGATAAAGAAGCCTTACAATTTTTATATTAAATGACATTATTATATCTGTGAATGTATATTGTTTTTTCGAAGAAAGGCTTTCTGTGTGCAACAGCACATCAAAGAAAGGATCTTCACAAGGAAAACTTTATAATAATATTAAGTTGTTCATTGCATGACCTATTTAGAGTACTCAGATATTTCTTGTTGTAGACTACATAATTAAATTTTAAATGGAACATGATAAAGAAATTATACTGGTGATCTCTAGAGATTTGAATACCCTATTTGGATCTTTACAAGAGTGTAGCGAAGGCATACTTTAAAATTTAATAAAGGTCTGGCCTATTTTTTTTTCTTTTAGATGTTCTATAGCTGCTACGGCAGTCTTATTTCAAACTGTATTTGCTCTCCACATTATATACTCAGTACTTGCAATAAGAGACCAAACTGAAATTATTAAAAGTATATATGCCTTAAATTGAGAAAAACCCCATTACGCATGATGCAGAACAATCAATGAATGAAGATAAGCTCCTAAAGACTTGTTATAACCACGCTAGCAACCACCCCTTCGTAGACCAGTGTTTAAGTCAAGCCAGTGAGAGGAATGGTACCATGTCCAGGGAGATGTAATTTAGTGAGGTGGAGTGCTCATGCACAGTGCAAAGCCCTGCGGGCACAGGGGAGATGATGTTTGGAGCTTAAATGAGAAAATGCTCTGCTTCAATATCAAAGGAATGATTTCAGTCTCTAGCCTCTTCTGTTTGTTTCTGTGAAAGGTACTTTATATTTAAAGAAGAACAAATATTTTAAATATAGAATAACCACATGGATTATTTATTTACTTAATACTAGGTTAGTAGTGATAACAGAAGTAAAATTTGTTTTACTTTTCATCTTTTATGTAGCGGTTCAATTTTGCATTTTACTCAGGGGGATTAAAGTTTAAATGGTCACTTCCTCTTCTAGGCTTTTTCTAGGCTTTTCTTATTTGTTGATTTTCTTAAATCAACAAATAATTTGCATAGATATTTTTCATAAGAGGAAAAAAGAAATCTCTGCAGCCCCTGCTTAAGTCTTGAGCATAACTCAGTAAAACTTAGATTTTGAGGTAAAGGCCATTTAGAATTGTCATTGAAATTTTTTTGGAAGGGTGGGAGGAAGTCTGCAATAGAATATAACAGCAAGGATAAATTGATGTGTCAAAAAGTTATATTCAGTGTGGAAATTTAAATCGTTAGCTTCTCTTAAAATAATTTGTAGTCTTCATATATTTTAAGCCAGCAGTCTGGAGTAGGTTACAAATTTTAAGCCCTCTTGATTTGATGCTTAATTCTTCACTCTTTTGTAGATTTGTTTAATGGTGCCTAAGTTTCATTTACTGTAGAGACGTGTTCCAGCTTGTCTACAGCATTTTGAAAATAGAATTTGAGTACTGAAGTCACTTCAGTACTTTTGAAAAATGTTAACCTGCAACTTTACCATTATTTAAATCTAATGCAACTAAGCTTTTATCTAAAGGGAAAAAGA